TATTTCAAAAATGTTTTCTGCCAAATAAACTTATTTAATTCCATTTTCCATGAACTTTTTGAAGTCCCCTAGTGTGGGGAGCAACCCGGACTGGACTGAGTTACTGGAATTAAGACTTATTCTGTGCATCTGCTCTCCCACAATATGGCACTGGGAGAGAAGAAAACAGCTTCTACACAGCTGCCTCCAGTTCAGCCAATAAACTGTAGGACTTGCTCCTGATTGGAGGAGAGCAGCGAACTCGGCGTGTGGGTAGCCGAGTTGGGATTGGCAGAGGAGGACTATAAAGGAGGAGAGAGACGGCATGCACCAGGAACATCTAAGGGGAACATCTAAGGGGAACACCTGTGCAGCCCCCGAGAGAGCCGGCCGGCGGTGTGCCGCTCCCCTGCGGAAGTGGGGAATGTGGCCAGGGGGAACTGCCCTTCCACGGAGGTGGAAGGGACAGTAGCCAACCCGGGAAGAACCAGCAGCAAACCCGGGGAGGGCCGAGCAGACAAAAGAACAGCGCAGGGTCCTGTGTCGTTCCTCCGCGAAGAGGGGGAGCGACATAATGGTGCCGTGACTCGGATATGAAGCCTAGGCAGGGCTTAGTGTCGTTCCTCCACGAAGAGGGGGAGCGACACCCTAGCACATATTAGAATACCAGAGACAATGCCCAGAACTGGCCTTATATAAAATATGAGACAAGCTGCCTCCTGTTTTATATTATATATATATAATATATATGATGTAATTTCTTTTTTTTTTTTTTTTTTGACAGGCAGAGTGGACAGTGAGAGAGAGAGACAGAGAGAGAAAGGTCTTCCTTTGCCGTTGGTTCACCCTCCAATGGTCGCCGCTGCAGCCAGCGCACCGCGCTGATCCGATGGCAGGAGCCAGGAGCCAGGTGCTTTTCCTGGTCTCCCATGGGGTACAGGGCCCAAGCACCTGGGCCATCCTCCACTGCACTCCCTGGCCATAGCAGAGAGCTGGCCTGGAAGAGGGGCAACCGGGACAGAATCCGGCGCCCCGACCGGGACTAGAACCCGGCGTGCCGGCGCCGCAAGGTGGAGGATTAGCCTATTGAGCCACGGCGCCGGCGGGATGTAATTTCTTTTATCAGCAATCCTCACCCTGGACTAGTTAGGTCAAATTCTGAAATATATATTATCTTCTCCTCATTTATAATGCTTACCTGATGTAAATCCCCCAGGATGAAATTAGGCAGTGTCGGTTACGTAACAGATAAGAGCCACACCTACTGACCTACTAGCTTAAAGCAAGTTGCTACTTTTTAAAAAAACAATTATTTATTTCCTTGAAAATCAGGGTGATGAAAGGAGGGGAGAGAGAGAGAGAGAATATTTTCCATCCACTGGTTACATCCAAAATAGTCATAGAATCCAAAAGTGGGCCAGGCTGAACCCAGGAACCAAGAACTCCATCCTGGTCTCCCACATGTGTGAAGGGGCCCAAGCACCAGCCTATACTCTGCTGCCTTCTCAGGTGCATTAGCAAGAATCTGGATTAGAAACAGAGTAACTGGCACTCATACTGGTACTCCAATATAGGATATCAGCATCACAAGCAATGTCTAGACCCACTGTGCCACAATGCTGACCACAGGAAGTTATTATTTTCTTTATTTTGCTAATAATATATCATTGCAATATCTTGTTCAGAATATGAGTAGGCAACCCATTCAGTTATCTAGTCATAAATAGTGAAAAATTAATTCTAGCAAGAATTAGTGAATCAAAAGGATAAATAGGATTTTCCCCAGGAAAATAGTTTACAAGAAGAATTTCCCAAGCTAAGTGAGAATCCTAAACACAGATAAGAGGCATAAAGTGAAGTGATAAATCTGAAAAACAATAAGTGCTCTAGGACTATTAAAACATTAGGTTTATGGAGAAGGAAAATGATAAGAAATGAATATGGAAATGGATTTTCCTTTTTTAATTTATTTTTAAGGAATACAAATTTCATAAGTACAACTTAAGAAATATAGTTATTCCTCCCACCATACCAGCCCTCCCACTCACATTCTCACCCCTCCTCTTCCTCCCTCTCCCCTTGGCAATTCCATTCTCCATTAACATTCATTTTCAGTTAATTTTGTACACAGAAGATCGACTCCATACTAAGTAAAGATTCCAACCATTTGCGCGCGCACACACACACACACACAATCTGTTTGAGAACTAGTTTTACAGTTAACTCTCATAATACAACTCATGGAGGACAGAGGTTCTGCATGGGAAGTTAGTGCACAGTGATTACTGTCATTAATTTAACAATTAACACTCTTATGTACGACATCAGTGACCACCCAAGTCTCTTGACATGGGCTGCCTAGGCTATGGAAGCCTTTTGAGTCCACAAACTCCATCATTATTTAGACAAGACCATAAGCAAGGTAGTTCTCCCTTTCACTTGATGGCCACTTTTTTTGGCTATGGTCTCACTCACAGAAATCCTTCATGCAGAACATTTTTGCCACAGTGTCTTGGCTTTCCATGCCTGAAATGTTCTCGTGAGCTTTTTGGCCAGAATAGGAAGACTTAAGGGCTGATTCTGAAATCAAAGTGTTACTTCTAGCGATTGTCATTCTATGAGTCTGCTGTGTGGACTGCTTCCAATGTTAGAACATTTTCTCCTTTTTAATTCAATCTACTATTATTACTAAATACTTGATCCTATTTGTAAATCAATTTAACATTTAATCTTATCTATATGTTTACTTTAACAGTTAATATGACCACTTTAACAATTAAAATGGCATTTTTACCACCAAGCGTAATGGGATTTGGAGTCCCATAACAAGTTTTTAAACTGTATCCTTACAAGTGAGTCCATAGGAATGTACCCAGAACTATGCAGTTTTAGTTACAAACTTTCTCCTCCCTCTCTTATTCCTACTAATATTTTTACTGAGATCTATTTTCAATTGATTTTATACACATAATATTAACTCTATGTGAAGTAAAAAGTTCAACAATGGATGAAGAAAAAAAGCAAAAAAAAAAAAAAAAACCAGAAAATAAAACTGTTCCTTGGCAGTCAAGACAAGGGCAGCTCAAGTAATCCCTTCTCAAAACATCGATTTAAAACAATGCAGAAGGTAGAAGGTAGAAAGAAGGGAAGATTTATACCACCAATTTTTATGGGTTTGGAATCCCATGACAAGTTGTTTGGATATATCTTTAGAAGTTAAGTCTTTAGGACTGTATGCAGAACTATACTGCTTTACAGTTATAGACTACATACCTCTCTTATTCCCCCTCTTATTTTTAACTGGAATCTTTTCCCAATTGACTTAATATACATATGATGAACTCTATGTTACATAAATTGTTCAACATATAGTATGAAGAACAGAAAAGAAAAAGAATGAAAACAAAGAAGAAAAACAGGATACACAAAATAAAAAGTAACAATAATAAACTATCCCTTGACAGTCAGGTCAAGGACTATTCAAGTCATTGATTCTAAAAGTGTCAATTTCGCTTCTATAGCTTTCATTTTAGGAGCGCTATTAATTCTCCCAAATCAGCCAAGACACTGCGGCAAAAAAAAAAAAAAAAAATGACTTAAATGAAAGATCTCTGTGAGTGAGATCCCAGCAGAAAGAATGGGCCATCAAAGAAGGAAGTACCTTTCTCTGAAAGGAGGAGAGAACTTCCACTTTGCCTATAGCCTTGTCTAAATAAGATCGGTTTTGGCAAACTCAAGAGGCTTCCATAGCCTGGGCAGCTCATGACAAGAGCCTCGGGTGATTACTGATGTCATAAATAAGAGTGTCAATTGTTAAATCAACAACAGGAGTCACTGTGTACTTACTTTCCATGTAGGATCTCTGTCCTTAATGTGTTGTACTACGTGAATTAACAGTATAACTAGTGTTCAAACAGTAGTTTATATTTTGTGTTTCTGTGTGGGTGCAAACTGTTGAAATCTTTACATAGTATATACTAAATTGATCTTCTGTATATAAAGATAATTGAAAATGAAGCTTGATGTGAATGAGATGTGAGAGGGAGTGGGAGATGGGATGGTTGCGGGTGGGAGGGAGGTTATGGGGGGAAAAAGCTGCTATAATCCAAAAGTTGTACTTTGGAAATTTACATTAAATAAAAGTTAAATAAATAAATAAATTTAAAAAAAAAAGGAGGTATGGATTTAAATCAATCAGAAGTGACAAACAGAAAATTGAACCAGAACGCTTGCTAGAAAAAGGGAAGCTAAGCAGCGAGAGCTGCAACCAAAATCAACTTCTAAATTAGCCCAGGAGTGACACCTTACCCTACAGGTGCCCTAGAGTTTCTACTGCAAACACTACTATCGTCAGTCCCACCCTAGGATATAGCATCATGTCTGCTCTTGCAAATGGACTGTGGCTACCACTGTCCCACCAGCATGAATTCCTCCCTGCTTCTCCACACTGTTCACTCCCAGTTCAAAACTAGGTACTATAGATGGAAGTCTTAACATAAATTAAGTACCTGATACAAAGGAAGCTGGTAAATTCAGGATCCCCTTCCACTGTGGAGGTTAATTTTCCAAACTTATTAAACATTTGTAATTAATTCTTTAATCCATGGAGGATGTTGCCACTGATGGCAACCTTGGTGGACAGAACAATGACAATATCATTCTTGTAGAAGAATGTAATGATGATAGTAACCATGTAATGAATGCTTTGCTTATTTTATATTTGCTCTCACAGCAACTTGAAGAACATTACTGTTCCCATTTTCCACACGAGAAAACTATCCTATACAGGATAACTGTTTTAAGTACTTAAAGCAGGAGTGCACAATAAAGTGCTCTAAACAGATACCTTTCATAGTTGTGGGGGAATGAGGAGAGTAATGGCTATAGTCAGAGAGAATACAAGCCTAAAAGAAGGGGACAGCAATAATTGGAGTAGCTTACTTCAGTGTGTATCAGGGTCACTTGGAGAACTTGTTAAGGCATATGTTGAGGGCATGTGTTTGGCCTAGTGGTTAAGTCACCTGCATCATAGTATCTGGGTTCCATGCTTGGCTCTGTTCTTGAATCCAGCTTCTTGCTAATGCAGATCCTTGGGTACGGCAGTGGTGGTTCTGGTAATGGAGTTCCTGCCAACCATGTGGGAGACCTAGAATAAGTTCACAGCACCAGTGTTTGTTCAGCCTCAGCCACTACTTCTCTTCCCTCCATTTCCTCCTCTCCTCCCCCCAACCCCCACTTCATCCTCCTCCTCTACCTTTCTCTTCCTCTTCCTCCTCCTCCTCCTCCTCTTCTTCTTCTTCTTCATCTTTGTCTTCGTCTTCTCTCTGTTCTTCTTTGTCTCTATGCCTTTCAAATAAAAATAAAATAAAAATCTATAGATCACTGGGCTTATAATCCAGAGTTTCTGAGTCAGCAAGTTTAGCTAGGGTTTAGCAACAATTTATAACTCTAGCTAATGAGTTAGAAGTTGATGCTGCTGCTGATATTTCAAGAACCACATTTTAAAGTAAATTGATTAAAGAGCTGTTTCTCAAACCCAAGTAGTATATGACATCTTTTTAATGACATACATTATTGAGACTACCAATAATTCTCCTCTGTTTATTATAACACTACATGAAAATATACAGATATAAAAGTAGGTATAAATGTGTTGTGCTTGTAACTCATAAACACTGATAAAACCTAAACTATACTTAAATTAAACACAAACAACACTATGAAATTAATGAAATTCAAATTAACATTAATTTTATTGTGACAGATTCTACTGGTCTGTTGAAATTACCTGTTGTTTCATTTAAATTAAAAAACATGTAATCTCAAAACCAATTTTATTTTTAATCTGTTTTTGTAATACTTGTGTAAGGAATGACTATTAGCAAAAATATATTCTGAAAAATGGTATTAATAACTTCCTGGCTCTGTTTCAAACCTTATACTTAATCAAAACTCTTCTAGTGAGCACTTCTATAATGGCAGTTTTAATAATGTTTCCTAGTATCTCTGTGAAGCTGGTTTCTTATGCCTCCTAAAGTATTGCGACATTATTGAAATCTGGATTAAACAGTTACCTAATGCTGTTACTGCTGAACTTGGGAACATAAAAAATTTTATTACATATTTACTACTGTACTTTTGCCGCTAGTGATCTCATACAAGTTGATATGTGTGATGTCCTGATCCTGGCCGATCTTTAATGCACTCAATAGATATGCACAGAACTTAAGGACAAGGCACATGCTCTTATTAACACTTTTAGTAGAGCATTACTTCTTACCAAATGCCACACGATGGTTTCATTCTCTTTTACCTTTCTCTCTTCACACTACTGCAAAACCTTTATTGATGGAGCATCTGACTTCTTTTCAAGTTATCTAGAGGCAATCTCTACGACAAGAATTCCAATGAATGGAATTTAATAGAATGTTTTCTCAGGAAAAACCAAGTAGGAAAATGGAGAAATGGGATAGGCACGGCAAGGGAGACAAGCAAGGGCATGATGCCAAGGTAAACCCTGCAGAGGATAACTCTGGCTTAACCCCACAACAAAGTTCTGTCACACCGTGTGTTATTCTCCTGACTAGGGATAAGAGAGCATAAATATTTACACTCAAGCGTCCATCACACTCATCAGTCATTATTAGCTAAACACTGTGCCAGGAGAGACAAAAACTACCTAGCACTTCAGGGAAGAAAACCCCGGCCGCCTGAGGGTAACCCTCTGACACAGATAAACAGATCTGGCTGCTGACTGAGAAAGCAGGCCTTGAATCACTGTGCATGAAAATGGTCAAGGGATTCAAGAAAAACTGGGCAGAGTATTGATGTTATCAACTGTGACATCTCAGGACACTATTTGGCCTTTCCTTGTGAGGATGATAATTTATTGCCTATCAGCTCCCTAACACATTGGATTGAATCCATGTTAAGTTTCTTTGATAGATACATTTATTATTTATTTATAAAGCAGAGTTACAGTAAGAGAGGAAAAGACGAGAGAGAGAGAGAGAGATCTTCCATCTACTCACCTACTCCTCAAGTGGCCACAATGCCCAGGGCTGGGCCAAGTCAAAGCCAGGAGCATGGAACTCTGCACAAATCACCCATGTGGGTTCAGGGGCCCTAAGACATGAGCCATCTTCTGCGGCTTTCCAGGCACATTAGCAGAGAGCTGGATTGGAAGTGAAGCAGCCAGGAACTGAACTGGCACCCATATGGAATGTTGGCATCTCAGTTGACTGCTTAAGCCACTGTGCCCCAATGTCAGCCTCCTATGTTAGGTTTCAGTAATCGAGGTCATGGAGGAACACTGAGCAGAGCAAGAAGAAGGGCTTTTCGCCCCTGGTTCCTAGGGGCTATTTCAGGAGCAGCTGCCACTGTATCAGGCATTAGAAGGCCAGCAGAACTCACCAACAGCCCTCATGCAGCAATTATGGGCTATTTTTTATGTGTTTTCTCCAACTCCAACCACCCAGCAGACTGCGTGCAGAGCAGCTTGGCTCCACTCCCACTTTTCAGCAAGTTTCTTAGCCACCCAGAGGAACATTGCTATGAGCCAGCTTCCTTCTGTGCCCACCACAGGTTCCTTTGTTGCTTGCAGTCTGCATGTTTTTGTGGCCATCACGCTATCTTCAATGAGGTCTCACTCTTGACCCTGTCTGGGTTCTTCTAAGGACATAGTTCCTTTCTTGTTCACTTTCTCCCAGTTCTATAGGGCATGGCTTCTTGGATTTGTTATTCCTGTATCCTTAAGAATCTTCTTATACTCCTTTTGGGAGTAAAACACATTTTCTTAGCAGGTTTTATTTTTTCTCTTTCAATCACTGATATGACTTTTTTGTCTTGTGATAGAAATGGATATTGAAATTATATGATGCTTAGTTATAAATTTATATCAAGCTGTAAAATATAAATTTCAAAAATATATTGAAATTTAAATCCCTAAAGATATAGCAAAAATCACTTTGAGAATCACAGAGTTAGAGGAAAGATTTTCCTATCAAAGTTGACAGGATTTAATAACTAATTAAATTTAGCATTAAGAGAAGAGTGAAAGGAAAGAATAAAATGTTTTGCTTTGGAAGACTTGGTGTTTGGTGATTATGTCAGGAAGCTACTCCAAGCAGAAGGGTCAAAACTGCTGGGAACTCTGGGGGTGAGAGGGAAGAGAGGGAGGCAGGCAATAGCTTCAGATCGTGATACAGGTCCAATACCTGAAAGAAGATGAAGAAGGAAGGAGGATACAATAAGGGAAGCCCCAGGCTTCAGACACCTCTAAAGGAAGCCTTGGCTTGTCAAACAGGAAATTCTTGTACAAAGATGGCCTGGAGAAGAGACATGTTTTCACTTAATTTACAATCATGTCTTCTCAATGGATGTAAAAAATACAATTTTATCATGGCTTACAAGGCTTTATCCAAATGGACCTACACTATATTTCCCCATCTCATGTCTCAGGACCTCACTAGCTTTCACCATGACTTTTCAACACCCAAGCACACACTTGCTGTTCTCTAAGCCTGAAATGCTCTTCCCCAGACTTTAACATGAATTACTCATTCATTCTTTCCAGGTCTCAGCTCAAAAGTCACCATCTCAGTGAAGTTCTCCCCAAAAACCCTACTAACATATCACCTTCCTCATAAATCTCCGTCCCCTTGCACTGATATTTTTTGCATATTTTTGCTCCTTACCAAATGGTATACCATTTGCTTCTGTGCATTTCTTCCCACTAGAGTAGAAGCTCCATGAAGACAAATATTTCGTCTGTTTACTATAAGTGTATGCCCAGCAACTTCTTTACACTTAGGAGGGACTCAATGTTTATTGAATGAAGGCATGAGTGAGTGTTAGGCAAAGGTCAGAACAGACAAGACTTTGTGGTTAAAGATAAAGATTAGTAGAAAACAAAATGCTTTGAAGTCTCCAGGTTGACATGATCACACTGCTCTCCTAATGCCTTCATTCTCATTGGAGGACAAGTATGGAAAATGGGGCAATCAAATAAAAGGTGGTTGTGGTAATATTTGTGAAAAGATGATGATGGCTTAGACTAGGATCATGACAGTGAAAGTAAAGAGATGCTAACATACTTTAGAGTTATTTAAGAAGGGAAATCAATTGTGAAATATTGGATATTGAAAAATGAAATAAATGGTATTAAAAAGTAAAGAGTAAGATAGACAAAAGAAGCTGAGAATGATGTGACTGTACATGAGTGATCATGGAATCATCCCTTTGTCTAATTTAAAATTGAGACATCAAGGGGGCAGATGGATGTTAATCTCTAGAGCTCAGAGAAGAAATCTGAGCTGATGTGATAAGTTTATAAGCCATCTGCATATGGACAGCTATTGAAGCCTGAAAGCACAGATGAAATTACTCAGGGAGGGAACCAAGAATAAAAGAATGAATGTCTATTAACAAGTCTAAAATTCCAATAATTAATAACTAGGAAAAATATTCTGATCCTTCAAAGGAAACAAAGGAGGATCAGCATGTAAGTAAGAAAAAAAAATCTAAGATTAATGTATCATGAAAATCAAGAGATGAGAGTATTTCAAGGACAAAGATGTCACATGGACTAAAAAGTTAAATAAAATGCAGTTGTATTTAACAATATGAAAGGCATTGGGAACCTTGGTGAGATATGAAATATAGGATAATGAGAACAACCACAGCTTGGTGTAGATCAAAGAGTGGAAAAGAAATTAGATCAGCAAGTAGAGAGAATCATTTAAAGAGGTTTAGAATGTCTGGTTATGGGCCAGATGAAATAAACACATTCAACTAATTACAATTAAAACCCCTGGTTGGGGCCAGCACTGTGGCGTAGCAGGTAAAGCCGTTGCCTGCAGTGCAGACATCCCATATGGGTGCCGGTTCGAGTTCTGGCTGCTCCACTTCCAATCCAGCTCTCTGCTATGGCCTGGAAAAGCAGCAGAAGATGACCCAAGTGCTTAGGCCCCTGCACCCACATAGGAGATCAGGAAGAAGCTCCTGGCTCCTGGTTTCTAATAAGCACAGCTCCAGCTGTTATGGCCATCCGTGGGGTGAACCAGCAGATGGAAGACCTCTCTCTCTCACTCTCTGCCTCTGCCTCTCTGTAATTCTGCCTTTCAAATAAATAAATAAATCTTTAAAAAAAATAAACCCTGGGTTAAGCACATAAAGGAACTGTAAGCATATTCTGAAATGTTAATGAAAACAAGTGGACCAGACAAGAATTTCAAGACTCAAGGGATGCTCAGGAAAGAGATTTGAACACACATTCCACCAAAAAAGGATGTACACATGAGAAAAGTCATTTCTGAAGAAGCTTAACTTTATTAGTCAGGAGAAAAATTCAAATTGAGCAGCATTAAAGGGAAGGGAGATTCATATTATGCCCAAAGTTAAATACAATTACCCATCTACTAGGAGGCTATCATTTCATACCAAGTGGTGGCAAAGATACAGACCAGCAGGACCCCTGTACATTGCTAGTGAGGCTGCAAAAATAATTCAGCTATTCTAGAAAACAATTTCTGGGGCTGGTGCTATAGTACAATGGGTTGAGCCACCACCTGTAGTGCCAGCATCCCATATGGGCACTAGTTCGTATCCTAGCTGCTCTACTCCCAAACCAGGCTTCCCAGCCTGGGAGGGCATGGGAGGATGGTCAAAGTGCTTAGTCCCCTGTTTCCCCATGGGAGGTCTAGATGAGGCTCCTGGATCCCAGCTTTGGCCTGGCCCAGTCCCAGCTGTTGCAGCCATTTGGAGAGTGAACCAGCAGAGGGAAGATTGATTCTCTCTGTCTCTCTCTGTATGTCTCTCTCTCCCTCTACCTCTCCTCTCTCTAATTCTGTCTTTCAAATAAAGAAATGATATTTTTAAAAAAGGAAAACAATTTGGCAGTTTCTTACAAAGTTAAACATACATTTAACCACATAACCCAATAATCACACTTTTAAGTATTTACTCCAGAGAAATTAAAATTTATGTTCACCCAAACACCTATACACAATTGTACATAACAGCATTCTGCAGAATTGCCACAAACTAGAAACCATCCAATTGTCTTATAGTTGGTGAGTAGATAAAAGCATTCACATTTTGGAACATTATTCAGTTGGTTCCCCATAGGCCAACATGGCTGTTCTCTGACTGTCCAGAATGCTAAGCACCTGCCAACATATAGCTGGTCTGATTCTCCCCAATTATTCATGAAAATAACTTTCTAGTATCCCTTAGGGCAGAAAATTGCCTTAAAATTTTGGGGATCTTCAATTTTTTTTTGAATCAAGGAAAATCATGTGACTACAGACAACTCAGCCATTACAAAATTTTTCAGGCAGGGGCCAGTGCTGTGGAGCAGCAGGTTAAAGCCGCGGCCTGCAGTGCTGGAATCCCATATGGGCGCCATTCAAGTCCCAGCTGCTCCACTTCTGATTCCGTTCTCTGCTATTGCCTGGGAAAGCAGTAGAAGATGGCCCATGTCCTTTGACTGCTACACCCACATGAAAGACCCAGAAGAAGCTCCTGGCTCCTGGCTTCAGATCAGCTCAGCTCTGGCCGTTGCAGTCATTTGAGGAGTGAATAAGTGGATGGAAGATCTCTCTCGCTCTCGCTCTCGCTCTCACTCTGGCTCTGGCTCTACCTCACTATGTAACTCTGTCTTTCAAATAAATAAAATAAATCTTTAAAAAAAATTCTTCAGGTAGATCTATTGAGTTGGCTTAATTGTTGAAATATATGAAAGAAAATTTAATCAGAATATAAAGTAAGGTTTGGTGTGCAGAACTCCAGCTTCTGTAACTTGAAAGATCAGCCCATCCCATTCTTGGACCAGTCAGTCCAATGCAGGATATGTGGCTTGTGTCTACATTATCAGTTGCTCTCATCTTGTTCCCCTTATATTGCAGTTCTTAGTCATTCTGTCCTCTTCATATCAGACCTGTCATTCTCTTTTCATCATGATCCCAGTACATATGTTGATGCTCCTCCACATACAATAGAATTATGTTCCAATAAACACATCTGAAACTGAAGATATCCTAAGTCAAAATACATGTATAAGCTAGCTACCTGACATTGTAGCTCAGCAAAACAGTGCATTATGTGGTGTCAGTCATTTCCCCTCGGAAACTTGGAGCTGATTGGCCGCTGTGGCTGCTGTGACTGCCCAGCCTCACAGAACTCAGAGGGCTTCCATAGCCTTGGAAACTCATGACTGGAGCATAGGGAGATTACTGATGCCATAGACAGGAGTGTCAATTGGTAAAGTCAACAACAGGAGTCACTGTGCACTTACTCCTCATGTGGGATCTCTGTCTTTAATGTGCTGTGCATTGAGATTTAATGCTGTAACGAGTACTCAAACAATATATTTCACTTTGTGTTTCTATGGGGGTGCAAACGGTTGAAATCTTTACTTAATGCATACTAAACTTCTGTAAAAAAAAAAAACTTAAACGAAAGAATATCATTCCACTGACTCTCACTGGGATTAAACATGACAATAGGGCTGATCTGATTTCATCATCATTTAAAACAAATCATCTATTATTTTTCACTTTATGTTTCTGTGTGGGAGCAAACTGTTGAAATCCTTACTTAATGTATACTAAGCTGATCTTCTGTATATTAAGATAATTGAAAATGAATCTTGATGTGAATGGAAGGGGAGAGGGAGTGGGAAAGGGGAGGGTTGTGGGTGGGAGGGACGGTATGGGGGGGAAGCCATTGTAATCCATAAGTCGTACTTTGGAAATTTATATTCATTAAATAAAACTTAAAAAAAAAGAAAAGAAAAAAGAATATTAAGCTGTAAATCAGTAGTCTGAAAAAAAAAAAGATTCAAATTCAAACTTTGAAGCATGGATTCTACTGAATGCTTTCACGTCATTGTAAATTGGGGACAATTTGTATCATCAGTTTGCACTGGCCTCTCAGACTACACTTAATTCTACAAACTCTGCATCACCCCACCCTGCTCTTCTTAGCCTTGATCTTGTTGCTAGCCTAGATCTGTGTAACTTGGCAAACCACCCCTTGGCCCTAAACTCCATTAAAAGGAATCAGGAGAGATCCACCTGGAGTATGTTATTAGGGCTTCCTGGGCCAGGGAGGAAACCATTCTAAAAAAATTAAGATATCATTTACAAATGTTCCAGGATAAAAGAAGGGAAGAGAACAAAATCTGCATCGCCTAAATTCTGAAGCACAGCACCAGGTTTGAAGACCTGTTGTACAGAAAAAATACACAAGTGTATAGATTCATACACCACAACTTCTGCTTCAGTCAGATCACCTCCCAATATTTCTAAGTTCACGCTTCCCATGCAAAGACATCAGATAAATAATGAACTTTCAATAACAGCACAAAATGTCATCAGGTTAACAGACACTTCTGCCATTTTCCACTGCATGTGCTAAATAAATCCATTTGGTATTGATCCCCACAGTTAAGTTTCAGCCTTAATGCAATTCTTACTGCCAAAGCAGAGTAAACAGATAGTTCCTGGAAGAACCTAAACATGTTATTTTTTACTCATCAGATGAGTCCTGTACAGATTAGTAAGCAACTCGATCCATTGGGTGTTTCATTACAAAAGTTACCGACTTGCAGGCTCACAGTGCCTAGCTGGAACTGAGCTATTGGGACTGAATAACAATAACTAAGGTAGAAACTCTATGAGGGGGGAGAAAATGAATACAGTGTGCAGTCTACATTCTGGTAGATTTCTGATTTGTGATCATTACTGCTGTGCAAAGATAACAAGAAAAGAAATTTCTCACCCAAGGGTTTTTATGTGTGACCCCAGCCTGGCCAGATATAATCTCATGTGGTAATACCCCATAGGGATCCAATGTGGCCAACACACCAAGCAGACTATCCTATGCCAGAGTGACTTTCCAATGACTGAATTTTGAGAAAATGTGGGGACCAGGTGCATATACATACGATGCAATCCTGTCCATAGACTATTCCTTTGCAGCAACTCCTGGATTCAGTGTACCTCCCCTCCTTTAGACTTGAGTAAAAGGACCTTCTTTTGGCCTCATGGTTAGAACAGTGGTTCTTCTATGGTTCCCATACCAGCACATAAGCACAACCTAAGGACTTGTTCTTGGACCACAACCAGATCTCCTAAATAAGAAACTCTGTAGGGAGGAACCCAAATATCTGTGTTTTAGCAAACTATCCAGGTGATTATGACTAATCTTAAAGTCTGAGAACCATGACTTTGTGGTCCTCTGCTATCAGAACCCTTCCCTAAAGTCTACAGTTCCATGGGCATTATACCCCTGTGGAGGTCATACCTCCTCTCCCAGACTTCACACATTCAAGCTTTCTTTCAGAGTCAATCCCACAAATCGACTGCACAGGTCTAAGAGGTGGCAAAGAGAGAGTTGGGCAGGAAGGGTTGTGTGGGTGGAACTACCTAACCATAGCTGTGCACACAAGGTCCCCACAGTACTGAGAGAGCTGGAGTTGGAAAGCAAGGGGATCTTGTCTGGGGTCAAGGAGGTAACCAGTTGTAGCTGGCCTGTATTGCTTCCTTTCAACACAGACTTTGGAAGGTCTGCAAATTCCACATTTGATCCCTGCTTTGAAGTTGTTACAAATGTCCATTTTTCAAGGTAGGAAGCATAAATCTTAATTGCTTTAATAGTTTTCATTTAAATTATAATTTTCAAATATTTAGACCTGTGATGAAACATGCATATGAAGGAATATAGATGGGCTACAGCTATACTGTGGTCTTATTTTGTCTAGCCCCCTGAAAAATCCTCACCTATAATTGTAAGTTATTTGGAAGTTTCTGATTAGATGAGCTAAATACTGGAGTTTTTCAAGATAAAGGTTTGCAATAAATGGTTCAAATTTCATTAATGTTTGTAATACAATATACATATAAGATTTAAGGCAAAGCTACAAAGAGGAGAGGATGAGAAAGAGAGGGAGAGAGAGAGAGAGAAAAAGAGAGAGAGAGAGAGAGATCTTTCATTGACTGATTTACTCCCTAAATGGCTGCAATGGCCAGGGCTAGGTCAGACTAAAGTCAGGAGCCAAGAGCTTCATCTGGTTCTCCCACACGGCTGCAAGGGCCCAAGTATTTGGGCCATCCTCCACTGCTTTTCCAGGAGCCTTAGCTGGGAGCTGGATCAGAAGTGGAGCAGTCAGGACACAAACTGGCACCCATATGAGATGCCAGCACTGCAGACAGCAGCTTAACACACTATACACTGTACCACAGTGCTGGTCCCTGGAGCTACTTTCAAAACCTAACTGGCACGGACCTATTTCATTAAGCATAATGGTCTCTAACTGCATCCATTTTGTTACAAGGGACAAGATTTCCTTCTTTTAATGGCTGAGTAGTATTCCATTGTGTATATGAACAGCATTTTCTTTATGCAGTCCATCCAGACCCAAAAGGACAACATCATATTTTCTAAGATTCATGGTAGCTAATGTAGAGAGCACAAAAAATGAAATGCAAGTGAGTGAAATTGACATCTTGAAATTTGATTATTGTTTACAACCCTTGTCTATAGTCTGGGAGAACACTGGTCTTTCTACTTACTACTTGTCTAATTCTTTGTTTATGGAGGGTTATGATTGTGATTATAAAGTAAATGGAGAGTATGTCATTGCATGAATTGAACAAAAAATAAGAAAGTAAGGGAAAGGAAGGGAGGAGGGGGAGAGAATGGGAAGTATCATTATGTTCTTAAAACTGTATACATGAAATACATGAAATCTGTTCCCTTTACATAAATAAATTTTAAAAAATTAATAAAACTAACTAGCTTCATCTACTCAGAGATTTTTCAGATTTGATCACTATTTCACCTGACTTTAACAATATGTAGACCTTTACTTTTATGCTATCCCTGGAACCTACAAAAGTTAACAGAGTGCCTATCTACTCTACCTATTTGCTTAACTCTGAGGCCTCAGTTTGAATATTTTCATGGCACAACCTCCCTTGATCTTTTCATTTATATTCTGCTTAAAGGCCCCTTGTTTGTGCTTTCATATTTATCTATCATCTCTCCCTCTATTACTCATAAATTGTACTGTCATCTCTCATTTAATTATATTCCTCTTTCCCCTCATGAACTTTAATGGAAGAGACCATGTATTTTATATCCAGTGCTTGTAGTATATAGTGTATCTAATGTTACATAAGAAGGGAGCAAATTATAATAAGAATAACAACAAACAAATATAGCTTTCACTATGTGATGGGCAGCACTCTAATCTGTGTATTTATAATATTTGTAACAAGTATATGTATGTGTATATATAAATTCCTAACAATAACTCCGTAAGACAGATATTACCATTATCTCCCTTTCTAAGTTAAAGAAATAAGTCCACAGAGATCACAGAGAGATCAAAGAACTCCTATAGTCACACAAGGGTCAAGATAAAGATTTCAAATTTGAGTAAACGAGATTTTCTAGGCTTTAAATGATTGAATGAATGAATCACTGAGTGAATAGAATAAAGCCATACTAGAACAGCATACTAAGGAACGCTGCATTGGAAAAACAGACAAGGCAAATTTATCTGTAATGGTTAACATTTTGTGTCAATTTGACTGGGCCACAGGGTATCCAATAATTGATTAAACATATTTCTGGGTATGTCTGCAAAGATGTTTTTCAATGAGATTTACATTTGATTAAGTAAACTTAGTAAAGCAGATTGCCTTTCTCGATATGGGTAGGCCTTATCCAAACCACTAAAAGCCTGGATGGAATAAAAATACGAGTGAGAAAGAACTGCCTCTCTTGTGTGCCTCTAGGTATTGATATTCTGTTGTTGGCCTTGGACTGGAAGTACCAGTTCCCCTACTTCTGAGTCATTTAGACTTGATTCTGTTTCTCTGGAGAATCCAGAGTAATATGTCATTGAAAACAGAAAGTGATTCCCAAATGTTATGTTCTTGCAGGTAGAAACAGAGAAAAACTGAGAGGTTCATGGTCACTCTATATAAAAGAGTCCTGAATTCTGATGGTGGTTTTCATTGACGTTCAGTCACATAGAAGAAAAGTTAGTTCAGTTTAGAAATGCAAAATTTGGGAAAACTATTTAAATTATTTGAAGTTGTGTTCGGCCTCATGTCTAAAATGTTTAAATGTCATCATTCTATGACCTTCTGATGGTGCAGTCTCAACCTTAATCTTGTATTCGTACTTTAGGGGTGGAGGTTATTTGGTTATGAAAGTATCTCTAACTAAAGTAGTAAAAGGTCATGGTCAAAGCTTCAACAGGTACCAGTACAAGGTATGGCACAGGAAACTGCATAGCAGCACAGGCAACAGATCACAGCTGGATCCTATGCACAGCAGTGAACCTCAGATTAACTTTCAACTCT